TTGGCCATTTCTGATACCCTTTTTCTAGAGAATTTCAGATTATAATCCTTACATTCTTTGGTACCCTTTAGAACCCTTTGTTTTTGCCTACTCATTAGTTTGTATCCTTGATACAAGTTTCCATCTCAGTCCATCATGCTACTTTCATTCTGGTTTTCATGCTGTTATCTTAATCCATCTTTGGAGGATTTCCTGCTGTTCAGTCATCACAGTCTAATAATAAAGAAATACATTTCCTGGTAGAGGTATTTGCTCCAACCTAACTGTGCCTGTATTTGGGATAATTATATAAAAGTATCTGTATTTGAATCTCTCTCTTTTTTTGCTCAAAATCTACCTCTGAATCAAATTGAAAGGTATTTGGGCTTTTTGTTTTGTTGTTTACCTTTGTCTTTATCAAATGTGGCTGAATTTCACACATGAAGAATCCTTCCACCAGCCAGAAATCAAACTGTGTTAACTTAAAAAAGTCTTCTAGGTTGCACATTTCTACATATAGAGCCCAGTCCTCTAGTCTATTAGGTATTAGGTAGATAGTTTGAGCTACAATTTACAACAGATTTGACTTACCACTGAAGCACCTCATAGTCATGTTATTGGTTTAGTTATGACTTACCTCTGGTTTATGTATGACCTCTCTTCCTTTTGTTTATCAAATGTGACTGAGTTTCCCCAGCCAGGAAGCCAACTACTGTATGTTCATTCTAAGCTAGACAACAGGTGATCGCCTTGATTTTTCTTGCCTTTCCCTCTTCCATTTAGTTTTAACATGTAGGGCCAGTTCTATATTTCTGTAGGTTCCAGGGAACAGATTATCAGTCAGGACACTTTGGCACTACCCGTCTTTCCTTTTATCACTCATCTTTTCTCTTTAAAATAAAAAAAAGTTTTATAAATCAGAACACGTAACCATCTGAAACAATAACAAGAGGATTGGCAATTATATCCCTGCTAATTCTATCGAAGGGATCAATGAGGTGTAACAAAGAGATTCCCTTTGACCATAGTCTTCAAATATAGGAATATCCAAGGACAATATTTTACATTTATGGTGTTTTGGAGAACACAAAAAGTCCAGTTCTGGAACATTGGTCTGCAGCTTTGTGTTCTGCTGTTGTTTTTATGTTGGTTCCCAGTAAAATGTGGGATTTATTAAGCTATTGCTCCTTGAGAAGAAAACTCTTCACTCTGGCTACAATAGCTGGTCTCATAAGAAGATGACAGGTCTATTCTTTGGTACTGCACCTTCTTTTAACTTTTATGGCAATGGTGTTTAAACATGTCCATTATCCTAAACCAACACTGGCCCTTAGAGCCCTGAATTCAGAAGTGCAGATTATATTTGCATGACTAATCTGGAAACCAAGATAAGATGTGGTAGAAACAGCAGGGTGCTGTACCACTTGAAATTAATTATAAACAGAGATTCAGAAGAGTCAAAAGAAAGTACTTCATGCAATGTGTTAATGTTAATGGCACTAAACTACAGGATGTTGGGATGACAATAGCCAATAGTTGAGGGGTTTTGGAGGGCATCAGACAAAGTCATGAAGAGTGTTTTGATGTTACCTCCATGGATACCCTTGATAATTTTCTACGATTCTTGCACATGTATAGAGACCACAGGTGAGCAGGAATATCTCCACTGCACATCTCTAACAATGGAGACGAGTGGGCTTGCCACTCCCCTCCAAGTGCAATGAGAGTATTTTTTTATTTCATTTTTTTATTTTTAAAATTGTCAACATTTGCAAATTTCTTCATGAACGTCTACAAAAAATCTCTATGTTTAACAAATCCATATATAGGGGATGAAGAAAGTGACAGAGGCCTTATGTCTATTCATGATGGCTACAATGAACCTCCATGTTTAGATCCAAAATACTGTAAATAAACAGCTTTAGGAGGACAGCAGGCGGTAAGGGCCACATATTGCTGATGAAGGTCTGTGAGAAAACAGGATTTGTTGGATCTTTGGCTTGATTGAAAAAAGCCAATCTTACATCTTTAAGTGCATCAATACTCACAAAACTGGGACCCCCTTGTACACTGTTTCCACCAAAAAGAAATAATTCATAAATATTCAGATATAGAATTATCACAGTAGACTGTAATGTCCTGCATTTTGTAGAGGCAAATTTACCCAAATAACACATATGGGTCTTTCTGTCCTGATTCTTCCTGTATTGTGAGATTCAGCTTGTTATTCTGTACTGTTCTGTAGTATTATATTACATCACTTAGCATTTTGAATTTAGGTTTGTGTTAGCTGTCTGGGCTTCAGAACAGAAGCATTTTTGCCCTTCTTACCAATTTCTTATCCAGGATCAAGTGTGACTGTCTGGCACTGCTTTAGCCTGCAGTATTAGACTCTGCAGTTTTTTATTATTATTATTATTATTATTATTATTATTATTATTATTATTATTATTATTATTATTATTATTATTATTATTATT